ATTGAATGAAAGGTCCTTCAATTATCTTTCCAAATGTGTCCATATTTTGAAAATCGGTTTAATAGTTTTCAAAATATAAGCTTTTGGAAATGTTGGAAATTCCATCGATTACTTTGAGCTGTTGAAAACAAAAACAAATGATATTACCTACATAAGTGCTTTATGTAGTATTGCTTGTTATTATGCATCAAGGTGACATATTTTAAAACAGACGTTCATTAATAATCATTTAAATATAACTTATATTTGTTTTAAACTCTGCAAATCAGTTACTTTCTAAATGTTCGCCTATTCACTGTATAAAGTTTATCGATAATCGACTGCCTCTAGAAGCAGCTGTTTGCACACATAACTAGTTAAGTGCGCGATTTATGTCGAATGTAATAATTTCAAATTGTGAGTAAATTTTATCAAAATGAGTAAGCGACACATCAGGCGATTAATAAAAAGGCAAAAAGATATTTACATAAATAAACTCAGTTCATTAGGTGATAGTGAAAGAAGTGAAAGTGTGGCAGAAGTTGTGGGAGAATCACAGTTCGCAGTGGACGCGCGTCCAGAAGTAGAGGCTGATATTGAATCAGGGCGAAATAATATAGAAAGGAGCGATTTAAAAGTTAAACTTGTGCAGTGGTATTTAAAAAATAGACCGTCACGAAAATGTTTGGAGGATTTGCTACAGATTTTAAAAAGTGGAAATTTAGATGTGCCTTTAAGTGCTGAAACCCTTATTGCCAATCATAGGCAACGAGCTGTAATAGAAAATGTTTCTCCTGGCTCTTACTGTCATATAGGTGTAAAGAAGCAACTGGAAAAGTTGGCTAACGGTTTAGATAGTTGCGAATTGATACGTGTGGACGTGAATGTTGACGGCATACCACTTTACAGAAGTTCCCGTACACAGTTGTGGCCAATTTTGTTGAGGGCAGTGAATATTAGAAATACCCCAGTGTTCCCTGTGGGAATTTATTTGGGTACTAAGAAGCCTGATTGCATTGACGCTTATTTATCAGCATTCGTAAATGAAATTAAAAATGTTTTGGATCGTGGAATAGAATTATTAGGAAGAGTTATTAAAGTTGAGATTCGATCACTTGTGTGTGATGCGCCAGCTAAGGTGTTTATTTGCGGTATACCTGGCCACACATCGGCATTTGGCTGCACAAAATGCACACAAGTCGGAAGGAAAGTAAATAATGTATTGGTATACGGTGTAGAAAGTGGTGAACTCATCTCTGATGAAGACTTCTGTAACAGAATGAATGAAAGGCATCATTTGCCACAGTATAGGGACAAACAGACACCATTAGAAACCATAGGCGTAAGAATGATTAGCCAAGTGGCTATAGATAGTATGCACCTAATTGATTTAGGTGTAATGCGAAAGTTTCTACTCCGAGTGTTGCAGGATAAAGTTAATATGAAGGTATCCAACGAAAATAAAAATTACATTTCGAATAGCCTAAAATCACTTGAAATGTGTATTACTAAAGAGTTTGTGAGGAAGCCAAGGGGATTTGATGAAATTTATAACTGGAAGGCCACGGAATTCCGGCAATTCCTGCTTTATACAGGACTTTCTGTCTTGAAGAATAGAGTTGACGATAATATATATTATGAGTACTTGCTCCTGCATTGTTCTTGTAGGCTATTGCTTTGCCCTAAAAGTTATACCTCGAATACGCAAATAGCACAAAATATGTTATCTTTATTCGTCCAAAATTTTCCAGTTGTCTTTGGAGAAACAAGCGTCACATATAATGTGCATCATTTGCTTCACTTGACAAATAGCATCGAAGAGATAGGTTTGATATCAGAATCATCAGCATATGATTTTGAAAATTATTTACAAATTCTAAAACGATATGTTAAAAAGCCCACACATATTTTGCAACAACTTTATAAAAGAATTTCGTATGAAAGTTTCAACACTGAAACTGCTTTTGATGGTTTGAAACTGGCTAAGAATGGAGAATATAAATATTTTCGTAACAATTGCGTTTCCACTGCGAAACACCCTGATAACTACTGTTTAATAAAGCCTTATGTTCCCATAGAGATACAAAGATTTACATATGATAATGGTGGTTCAGTCGTAGGGAAGAAATATTCGAATGTTCGAAGCTTTTTCAGTGAGCCTGTTGACTCAATAACTTTAGGAATAAGTACAGTTGATTTAAATTTGCCAGACGAAGAAGTACTGTTTCCTGTGAGTGAAATAGAATGTAAATTGTTAGGCCTGCCGCATGTTGGTCGCTTACTCTTTCTCCCAATTCTACATGATTGCCGTTATATCAAATACAAATCTTGAGTATTTAAACGCTTATAGATTTAAGAGGAGAAAAAGAAATAAGCGCAAGGCCATTCAAAAGGAAACTAGTCCATAAAGATCCTCCACCACAACGTAAGTAATGTAATTTGTAGCTACACCCATGACTAAAATAATATAGACGCCTTGTTTTTACCAATTTTGGCTATGTTTATTTTGTTTACGTAATATTTATTATTTTTTATAAAAGTGCATCGGAATGGTTAACAAAAACCATATAAATTCATATTACAAACTTTGTGCAAAAATTATTTAAATTCGTATTTCAAAATTTCATCTAAATTCCCAACTGTTTAATTTTTTAATATTAAATAAACAAAAGAAACGTTTCTATTAATTTCGCCATGGGTTTACATGTGTTCACATGGTGTTTGTTTTTTGGAAAAGCAGGAATGTTTTTTCATGAAATATCTTTTGTTGTAAACTTTGTACAAAACTTATTAAATTTTCATTTAAATTCCGAAGCTTTTAACTGGAGGCTTATGAAATTTTTGGGTATACAGTTTTGTAGCCCATTTCATTTTAATATAACAAAATGCACGCTTCAAGTGGCCAAACTTTGAATTGATTTTTGGCAATTTTTCTTGTAAAACGCAAATATTTAAAAAATATTTTGGTTAATTTGTAATAATTTTGCATGCATACGCATTTTTCTACATCATAAAATATTTGCGTTATACGAAGAAAAAAATCTCAATTCTATATAAAAAAAAATTGCCAAAAATCAGTTCGAAGTTTGGCCACTTGAAATGTGCATTTTGTTTTATTAAAATTAAATGAGCTAACGAAGCTGCATACCCTCTTAAAACATCGTAATTTAGATGAAAATTAAATAAATTTTATATACATATGTAAATTAGCAAAAAAAAACACTATGTGAACACTTGTTTCAGTCTCGTAAGTACATGTTTGTAATAAATTTTAAAAATTCAAAATAATTTTTTTGCAGACGCCACTTCAACCAGGGCTTGCACAAGTTGACTTACAGGAAAAAATTAAAGAAATTAATGGTATGTATATTCGAAAAGACAAGTTTTTGCTTCACTAACTTTTTGGTTATACTCTTTCCTTAGAAAATGCTGATAACTTAAAATCGTTTTTATTTGGAAAACTGGACCAAATTGAAAGTAAGGAATGGCGCTTTTACAAAAACTACAAAAGGAAAATGCACTTATTTTCTCCTTTCAGAAAATCAATTAGTCCAAAGGAAGGCCATAATGGCAGCATTAGCGAAGCAATAAATTTTAACCAACAAGCTTATTCGTAAAGAATCCCTTGCACAGCCTATAGCCCAACTTTTCCCAATTTAATCCGACGATGCTTTAGAAGCCGTAGATAACAAAATTTTTCCGGAGAACCGAGATAATTATGTAAATGTGCAACTAAATTATTACTGCTACATATTACATTTATGGCGGTTATTTAACCACAACTATTACTTTTTTACAGATTTCCATAATGAGCCAGCTACTGCAACATTCTGCTACGAAAAATATTAAAAATATCCTCGATGAATCAATAATAATGAGTTACAATGTTGACGGCACTCATGGCAAAAAAAGTTTGAAGTCATACAACATATTTTTTGCTGCGCTTTTAGGTAATTATCTATACAAATATATACTAAAATTAATTTCGTTACAACTAGTTTAAATCATTCGTAATTTTTATGTAGACGCTATTTCACATTTACCAAGCGACACAAATCTTGAAGAGCAGTTGCGCAAGGCCTTTAGAATTCACAAGAAACGCTATTTTAAAAACTCTGCGACATCAAACAAATGAGCCAATATCAAATGTTTTTTCCTTACCTATTGTTTCAAAATCAAAATTTTGTTTAAGGAAAACGCTTTATTTTTATTATTTTTTTGCTTCTAATTAAAATAGATTCTACAACTAAGCCGACTAATATCCGAGTTCCAAGGTTTGTGCGAAAATTTGGAAAATTTAATAAATGTTTATCAAAAGTTAAAAAAATTACAAAAAGTATACTGTTTATTAAGAAAAATTTCAAGTATGCAGTTTTATAGCCCGCTAAATTTTTAACAGCAAGTTTCAGAAGCTGCGAACTATCGCTGGCTTTTGACTGTTGAAGTTGTTTCTTATATTGTTTCTTATATGGATGAAAATAAGCAGGTTTGTCAAAAAAAAAAATCAAAATTTAACGATAGTTCGCAGCTTCTTAAACTTGCTCTTAAAAATTTAATGGGCTATAAAATTGCATACTTGAAATTTTTCTTAATAAACAGTATATATTTTTTTATTTTTTTTAGCTTTTGATAAACATTTATTAAATTTTCCAAATTTTCGCACAAACCTTGGAACTCGGAGATTAGTCGGCTTAGTTGTAGAACTAATTATTATTTTATACAAAAATTCCAAATTTTTTTATTTAATACTTTTATACAAAAATGTCCAAAATTTTATTTGCTTAGACACAACGAAATAATGTCAAAAAACAGTGTGGTGTATTTTTGTTTGCATAATACCGTATGTATTAGCTAAGATTAAACGTCTTTTTCATATTTTAACACTTGAAATGTATTTTTAAGCATTGAATAGCTAAGTAAATCACTGTCTTTGCTTTGGAAACGTTATATCACCATAAGTATAACGGAAGTACATGCTTTTAATACTTCATATTTCAAACATGGAAATATATTTTTTTCATCCAAGCGCATAAATGCCTCGTAACCACGCAAGCTTACTTAATTTTGTATGGGAAACCGGTTTAATTATATTAGGTTTACGTGGCTACGACGCATTTTGAATGCGTAATATAGCTATAAATACATACGTTAGAGAAATACATCACAAATATTTCTGTCTTAAACAGCATAAAAAGTTGTTCCCTTCTTATTTCAAAAACTGAACCATGTATATGTATATTTTTATACCCGAGCGCACTTGTGCACAAGGGTATTATAACTTTGTTCACATAACGGTTGTTTGTAACAGGCAAAACGAATCGAGATAGATATAGACAAATGTATACATAAATGATCAGAATGAAAAGAGAAATCGATTAAGCGGTGACTGTCCGTCCGTCCGTCCGTCTGTGCACACGATAACTCGAGTAAAAATTGAGATATCTTAACGAAACTTGGTACGTGCACTTCTTTCGGGCGTGGGACGGATGGTATTGAAAATGGGCAAAATCGGACAATAACCACGCCTACCTCCCATATAACGGTAATTTTCAGAAATACGAAAACTGCGATATTTTAGTAATTACTGAAGATTATTAACTCAAAATTGATATTTACAATAATTTTTAGACGAAAAATAAGAATGTTATAAATTTTTGAAAAATGGGCGTAGCCACGCCCCATTATGGATACATATCTTGGCAACCGCTGCACCGATTTCTTCCAAACTTGGCACAGTTATTGGCCTTGGTACAGGATAAATCGGACAATAACCACGCCCACATCTCATATAACGGTAATTTGGAGAAATACGAAATCTTCGATAAATCAGTAAATATTAAAGCCAATTTATTCAAAATTGATGCTTTAAACAATTCCTTACCAGGAAATACGTCTATAATAAAATTTTTAGAAATGGGCGTGGCACCGCCCACTTATGATCACATATATGTATCTCGGTAACCGTTCTACCAATTTTGTACCAAACTCGGTATTTTTATTGTGCTTGCTACATAAAAGCAAAACGATGAAAATGATTGAAATCGGACTAAAATTATGGTTTTTCGTATAACGGTAAATTTTAGAAATGCTTGAAACGTCAATATTTTGAAATTTAAGGACGCTAATTTACTCAAAATTGATACACCCCGGCTTACCATGTAGCGGTAGCTTTCGGAAAGGTGAAAATCATATATTTAATATTTGCACCGGGTATTTAATGTTCGGCTCCGCTCGAACTTAGACTTTCTTACTTGTTATTTATGTAAATGAATTTAGAAAAACTTTTATGTTATTAAAATGAAATGAAATGAAAAATGTTTGTGATATCACTATAGATGTAAGAGAAATACATGTATGTATGTACATATCGATGGTCCTCTGTAATAACGGCAAAATTCAAAATACAAAAAAATAAAATCCTATACTACTGTTAAGTGGTTCATGCCATCCTTATCTAATCCACGTCTAATCCTCACTAAAGTAAGTAGTAAGGATTACTACACTAAGTAGTAAAGATAAGATATGGATAAGACAAGTATTAGAGACATTTCTGTATTAACTAAGAGAATGAATTTTTACTCGCATTTAAAAACTATTTTTGGAGGTCATATTGTTTTTAAATTAATACAAATATTTTTATTTCGTTTTTGAGATATCATTATGCACTTGTGGCCAAATACATTTTGCCCCCTTTGTAAAACTGTTTAAACTTATTCAAAACAAAAAAAAATAAATAATCTCCTGAAAGTTTTGTAGTAAGCAAAGTGCAAATTTTCCGGCGCTGAAAATTACTGCTGATTTTTGATAATTTTTTTTTCTAGACTGTTGAGCATTTTCTCCTATATAAAAATAAATTTTGTTAATATGTTATATGGAAGAAAATGCGTAACAGGTACTGTAAACTTGCACTTAACTTAACAGAATTGAATTCTGATTAAAAAAATTTTAATTCTGAAGAAAAATTTTTAGTTTTTTTGTAATTGTTCACAAAGTATGAAACTTGAACCACCAGTTTAGGTGTAAGAGGAATATATAATTAACCATAAGATTTCTATATTAACTAAGATAACGAGTTTTTTCTTCGTATTTCAAAACTTGAAAAGTTGTGGTATTTTTGGATGTTGTTTTGAATTCAAAAATAAAACATTCATTTTGAAAACTTTAACTGTTTTTTTTTTTTTTAAATAGTACTGTTTACACTTATATATATTTATATATATTATATAATACATACTTATATGATATGTATATAATATATACTTATATATGTATTTATATTTATGTATCTTATATATTTTTCTCACTGACTCATAACTATGAATTTTTAAACATGTTCGGACCTATCCCTTTTTGCACCAGTTCAAGACTATCTATTTTTGAACTAGCACAGAGCTGCTTCCTTTTACACCATCTCAGAACCACCCGTAATAGGACCAGTTCGGAACTATCCCTGTTTGCACCAGTTCAGGAGTATCTATTTTTGAACTAGCACAGAGCTGCTTCCTTTTACACCATCTCAGAACCACCCGTAACAGAACCAGTTTAGAACGCGTTCTAAAGTTCTGCAGAGGTGGCAATTTTCACTTCGTAGGACATCGGCATGTAAAAAGAGACAGTTGAAAGCATTGCGTTGGGATAGATCGAGAATCAGTACCGCCTCTTAAAGAGCTAGTTCTGCGCTAGTCCTGAACTAGCGCGATTTACTGCAGGGATGCAAAATGAATTAGGCACACTAACACATTATCACTTTTAGCTAACGCTTGTTTGGGGTAGTGCCCACCTCTGAAAATGAGTAACCACAAAGCGTAGGCAAAACGAAAAGACCTCAAAACATAAATGTATGTGATTGCAAAAAATCAATGTAAGCAAGAGAACAGAGCAAATTCCTCACTACTGGCCTGCCAACCAATGTTGCCACAAAAACATTACCAAATTCCTCCAAAAAATTAAAAATCCTCAAAATCCCAACAAATTACTCAAAAATTTTCTTATTACAGATATCTAGATATGAATATTGTGTACTGCATACTATTTACAGGTACTTAGTATGAAAATTATTTAATTACATTCTCCAATTCAATTGGTACATTTGTTCTTGCGGCTCAAACATCATTAAATTTTATGCCTTGTCAGTTCTACACCTTTTTAAACTACTAAATATACGTTCTACTGAAGCATTAGAAAGGGGCTATATTAGTAATGCAGAAATACTTTTTTATACCCGAGCGCACTTGTGCACAAGGGTATATTAATTTTGTTCACATAACGGTT